AACAGATATAAATATTCGTATATTTTATTTATTAACGTTAGTTCGTCTTTGTGAAGTAGAAAATGAAGCGCGATCCCCGAGATTGTATAGACTATTACTGCAATCAAGCAGGAAGAACGATACTGAAACACGATTTTCCATTATTTACACGACAATATGGAAGAGAGACTTATTTTCCCGGACCACAAATACAGAGAGGATACGGATTTTTCGGGGATTTATTTCTTAAATCTATTCCTATTCTTAGTAAAGTAGGAAAGTATCCAGGGGGTAGAGCTTTAAAATTTGCATCGAATATCAGATCAGATGTAATTGGAGGGAAGTTGTTTAAAAAATCTACAAAAAATTGTTTTAAAGATGTACGATCTGAAATTAAGGAAGACGTGCTTAAAAAAGTACAGACAGGATCAGGTATAAAAAGAAAACAACCGAAAAGATTAACTCAGCTGGAAAAGAAGAAGAAGAAGCGAAAACTTAACGATATTTTCGGTAATTAAGAAACGATGAACGTCCATTCGTGCAACTGCACCAAATCCGAATTAGATTTATTTACCACTGTTGGGAAGCAATTGGCATTCGACAATACGTATGAAGTCATCGCTCAACCTTTAGCGAACATTAGCGATAGTAGATCACCTATAGAGTTTCTTATATCAGGGTCGGGTGAGCATTATATTAATCTACATTTGATTTATCTATGTGTTCAAGCGAAAATCGTAAAGAAAGATGGATCAAACCTTGGCTCGAAAAAGAAAGTTACTCCTGTTAATTATGTTTTAAATAGTTTGTTTTCTCAATATACTGTTTTTTAAATGACAAACCTGTAATTACGCAGGTTAATTATCCATACTGCGCTATATTAGATGCCTTGCTATTTAATTCGAAAGAAGTGCAAGAAACTTTTTTAATGAGCGTGTTATTTTTTTAAAGATACTGCGGGACAAATTGATTTGATAAATCCGTTAGATGAAAATAATACTAACTACTGATTAGTTAAAAGATTTAACATCAGCAAAGAAAGTAGAATAATAGATTTAATAGGGCGTCTTCATATCGATTTAGCAAATCAGCCTAAGCTTCTAACGAACAATGTAGACATAAGAATTAAATTCGAAAGATCTAAAGAAAATTTTGCACTAATGGCAAATAACGATGACTATAAAATTATTATTAAAAACGCATTGCTGAAAATTAATAAAGTAGACGTTAGTTCATCAATACAGATAGGAATTGAAAAAGCATTACAGACAGGTATAATTAAATTACTGTTTCGTGGGACAGATCTTAAAGTCTTTACATTAACTAGCGGGATTCAGTCTACAAGTATATCAAACGTTGTTATCGGCCAACTACCTTATAGAATAACTTTCGAATTAGTTTCTAATTCTGCATTTAATTAATGGAAATGTGAAGCGTAATCCTTTTAATTTTAAAAATGATGATTTAAATTATATATGTTTATCAAAAGACAATCAAATGATTTTTTCTAAACCCTATACTCCAGATTATACCAATAAAATTTATGCAAGAAATTTTATCTTGTTATTCGAAGATACCGGATGTATTCATCATCACAAATCTATAAATATATTGTACGACGAGTATCGAGACGGTTATACTTTATATTGTTTCGATCTTACGCCCGATAAATCAGGCTCCAAGTCTCACGTTAGCGTTAGAGCTTGAAAATATTTCTGTGGAATTAAAGTTTTCGAAGGCGATACCGGAAACCATAAACGATATTTGTTTGCTAGAATACTATAATACCTTAGAAATCGATCATTCACGAACCGTATTCGTCAATTATTAATGAATACCGTTATGTTTTGGAGATTAGCAGTGAGCGATCTGAAAATAAAAAGAAATTTTGGAGGAGGTTTTGCATCTTACGATCTACCGTTTCGAATTGATAATAAACAATCTTTTATTATTAATTTAGACGAAAAAAATAAGCCTGGAAGTCATTGGGTATTAGTATTTTTTACAAAAGATAAAATTACTTGCATTTATTATGATAGTTATGGATTAAATCCGAGGAAAGCGAGTAACATCAGATTTATAAAACGAATTTCAAAAAAATATTGTTGGAATAATATTATTCATCAAAGTTTGTTTTCCTTAAACTGTGGTTATTTCTGCTTATATTTTTTATATAAAATTAATAGAAATCTATGTTTATCAGAACTGCATGTAACAGATAAATTTTATAACGATGAATTTGTTAAAAATTTTGTTAAAAATAATTTTCATTTATCAAAACCGATTGTAATAACCAATAACCAGTGTTGTAATTCAATAAAATAAAATCTATTTAAAATATGAAAATTGTGTTTTTTATTCACAAAACTTACTATTCATTTTTCTGCTATCCGAACCTCTGGCAGTATTTATACTGATACAGGATTTTCCTTAATAAACAAGTTATGCATTCACCCTGACCCACAAAAATAGGTAACCGGATTTTTCCAATTCGACTTGACAGGACATGTTACAGATTTTCCTATTCGACTTGACAGGACATGTTACGGGATTAGGTTAATCTATCATGTTTTTTTTTTTTAAAAAAAAAAAAACGACAATAATCATCTGATTTGGTGTGAATATCGAGGTGTTTTTTATATATGAGTTAGGGTTAGATATAATACTGATTATATCCAACAGAATTATGTACTTTTTCAATACTTAAAATATAAAGAAGTTTTATTTAATACATACCTGTTTTCAAGGAAGAATTCTTATCCTCAGATGTAATGGTAACAGAGAGCAACATAAGTTTTTTATTATCTAGAGATTATATACGTTTTAAGTTTTAAAAAAAAAATGATTTTGTTCTTAAAGAAAAATATAATTTTTGGTGTTAGTGATTGATATCGGCAAGTGAATTATGGTAAATATTTTTACTGATCTTTATAGATAATATACAACTTGTTGCTAGATCCAAATCGAATTTCGTCTTTTGTTTTCACCACCTCTTTTCTTATCAAAATCAAATTCTACAATTAGTTTAATTTTATTTAAGTTTTCATTATATCATCAATGATGTTACTAATATCATGAGTATAGAGAAACAAAAAACTGTCATAATATTTTTTTTTTCTCAAAATCAAATTCTACAATTAGTTTAATTTTATTTAAGTTTTCATTATATCATCAATGATGCCACTAATATCACTAGTATAGAGAAACAAAAACTGTCATAATATAATTTCTTAACCGAATTATTAGGCGAAAAAACAGCTGTCCTCTACTGCCATAGTTTGAAGACAAAAAACAGCTGGGGAAAAACAGCTGTACCCAAGTTAAAAGACGAAAAACACCTGCGAAAAAACAGGTGTGCCCTTGTACCAGTTAGAAGACAAAAAACACAGCTGTCCCTAGTTCCAAGACACAGCTGGGGGAAAAACAGCTGTCCCAGTTTGGTAGTTTGAAGACAAAAAACACAGTGTGGGAAAACAGCTGTACCCTAGCACCGTAGTTAGAAGACAAAAACACAGCTGTCTGAGTTTAAAGACCAGCTGCGTTCCCACGACCTAGATAATAACTCTTCGAAGACAGGACAAAGAAGTAGCTGAGGATAAAAGCCGCTGAATTTTTCCAGAACTTCACTCATCGACCAACCTTCCTACCAAGAACTTCACTCATCGACCAACTTTTCTACCGAGAACTTCACTCATCGACTAAGAACTTAACTCATCATGTCTGACATCGGTAAGTAATTTTTATTTTAATAATAATAATACCTACCTTAATTTAGATTATAATTTTTTTTATAAAATTAATTGTAGAATTTGATTTTGATTTTGAAAAAAAAAATAAGAAAAGGGGTCCTAAGCCTAAAACACCCGACAGTAATGAAAACAAAAAGACGAAATTCGATTTGGATCTAACAGCTGAGAAAAGTAAGGAAATCAAAATTCCAGACTTTAAAATTAAGATTAGTGAATCTGAGAGAATCGAGATACAGGAGTTTCAATCAAATTTTTATGTATGTATGACGAAAAGTAAAGGGTCATATCCCGCTAATAAATATAACATAAATGTAAAAGATTTTAACAAGTATAAACAAGCATTCAACGCAATGGGGCAGCATTTGGAAGAATATACCAAATTTTAATAGTATGGTATAATGTTTTTTTTTTTTTTACAAATTATTGATTGTGTCATGTTTTTATGATATAATGGTATCAGTTTTAAAATATTTACATAATATTTTTATAATATAATGGTTTTATATAAAAATATTGATTGTGTAATGTTTTTTATGATATAATGGTATAAGTTTTAAAAAATATTTGTGTAATTTTATAATATAATGGTTTTATATAAAAATATTGATTGTATGATGATATAATGGTTTTATACAAATTATTGATTGTGTAATGTTTTTATGATATAATGGTATAAGTTTTTTAAAAAATATTTGCGTAATTTTTATAATATAATGGTTTTATATAAAAATATTGATTGTGTGATGATATAATGGTTTTATACAAATTATTGATATAATGGTTTTATACAAATTATTGATTGTGTAATGATATAATGGTATAACAGTTTTTTAAAAATATTTTGTGTAATGTTTTTATAATATAATGGTTTTATACAAATTATTGATTCTGTAATAATTGGTGAAAACAAAAAAGACAAAATTCGATTTGGATCTAACAGCTGAGAAAAGTAAGGAAATAAAAAATTCCTGACTTTTAAATTAAGATTAGCGAATCTGAGAGAATTGAGATACAGGAATTTCACTCAAAATTTCTATGTATGTATCACAAAGTAATATAAATGTAAAAGATTTTAGCAAGTATAAACAAGCATTCAACGCAATGGGACAGCATTTGGAGGAATATATCAAATTTTAATATGTAAAAGATTTTAGCAAGTATAAACAAGCATTCAACGCAATGGGACAGCATTTGGAGGAATATACCAAATTTTAATACAAATTATTGATTGTGTAATGATACGTTTTTTTTTTTAAAAAAAAAAAAATGGTTTTTACATTTATATTAAGGAAAAAAGCCTTCAAGGGGTATGTCAGAAGTTATAGAGCATTTATCTCTAATTATACAGATCCTAGTATTTTATTTGAAAATGTTAGACATACTATTTATAATATTTTGACTAATGATGATTTAATTTCAAGGATGAAATTTTTATTAAATCTAAAGATAAAATTTATAAAATATTCAGAAAATGAAACTATTACGTATCAGGATGTGTTTTTCTCCAGTCGAGTAGAACATATTTTATCTCGGTATATGATCGATGAAAGGTTAACAAATGCTTTTGATACAATTTTAAACTTCATTGATCAGTTTATAAAAAACGGATCAGGGTGGATAATTAAGGAAATTATATTTTTAGATATTCATTTAGGAATTTATAAGGCTGAGAGTGGTGGATGTGGTAATATCATCCTACCAAAACATTTAATTAATAAGCGTTGTTTGTTGAATATTAAATGTAGTGATAATCAATGTTTTTTATACTGCGTAATTGCTAGTTTGTATCCAAATACTAACAACAAAAATTCGATTTATTCGTACAGGAAATTTTTGAAATATTTAAATACAAATACCCTAAAATTTCCAGTAAATATTAAAAATATTCCATCATTTGAAAAAAATAATAGTTTAAAAATTCAAGTATTTGGATATGAAAAAAAAATAATTTATCCTATTTATATAAGTAAATATCAGTTCGAAAAAGAAATTAATTTGTTATTATATAAATCCCATTATTTTCTAATTAGAAATTTTAACAGACTATTGTCAGAAAAATCAGGAATACGAAAATTTTGTAAACGATGTCTTATAGGCTTTCAAAGAAGCCATACTTTAAATGAGCATGTGAAAATATGTTCTAATTATAAATATCAGAAAGTTTCTACCCCGACTGGAGAAAGAGCGGTTGCTAAATTTACTAATTACGAGAAGCAATTATATCACCCCATAGTAATTTATGCTGATTTTGAATCGATTCTAGAAGAAGTTGATGTAAACGCTGTAGATCTAAATTCTAGTTTCACTAAAACTATTCAGATTCATAAACCTATATGTTATTCTATCGTTATTATAGAAAATGATGATGATTTATTCTATTCTAATTTTTATTGTGGTAAAGATGCTGTTAAGCATTTTTTATTTGATATCCAGAATCAATTAAAATTTTTATTAGATAAAATAAATAGTTATGTAGAAATGAATGTGGATACTATTCCCGATAATTACGAACATCGGTGTCATATATGTGAGGAGGGGTTTAATTATGATGATATCAGAGTAAGAGATCACGATCACTTAACAGGTGATTTTCGCGGAATAGCTCATAACCATTGTAATTTAAATTATAGATTCAAAAAATTTATTCCTATTATACTACATAATTTTACAGGTTATGACTCCCATCTGATTTTCAAAAATATTCCTCCTAAACTATTTTCGAGAATTCAGATTATCCCAGTTAATTCAGAAAAATTTACTACGTTTACTTTAGATCATTTCAAATTTATAGACAGTTTCCAATTTTTAAATTCTTCGCTAACTACTTTAACAGAAAATTTAAAAAATGCAAATTATAATTTTCCTATTTTTAATCAATTTTTCTATAATAACGAAAATAAAAATTTATTAAAAAGGAAAGGAATTTTCCCATATTCTTATTTTAAAAATGAGGATATTTTATACGAGAAATGTTTACCCCCAAAAAAATATTTTTATAACGAATTATCTGGAGAAAATATTAGCGATGATGATTATGATCATGCAAAATTAGTTTGGAAAAAATTTCGTTGTAAAAATTTTAAAGATTATTTAAAATTATATCAATATGTTGACACTTTATTACTAGCTGATATATTCCAAAATTTTAGAAAATTAAGTTTAAAATATTATAATTTAGATCCAGTATATTTCATAACAGCTCCAGACTTAACATGGAATTGTGGATTAAAAATGACAAAAATTCAACTCGAATTATTTAAAGATATTAATATGTACCTTTTTATTGAACAAGCAATTCGCGGCGGAATTAGCCTAACTTCGAAAAGATTCGCGAGGGCCAACAATCCTCTAATTCCAGAAACCTATGATAAAAATCAACGACATAACTATATTATTTCGATAGATGCTAATAATCTCTACGGATTTGTGATGAGTTCTTATTTACCTGTAAATAATTTCAGATGGTTATCTGAGGATGAGATAAATGCTTTAGACATTTGTAATATTCCCGATAGGAATAATATAGGCTATATTTTAGAGGTTGATTTAAATTATCCACCAAATGTTCATGACCGCCATAATGACTTACCATTAGCTCCTAATCATACATATATTCCATTCGATTTATTATCAAATTATCAAAAATCGGTATTAACTAAATTAAATTTAAAATATAATAATAATAATAAGAAATTAATTCCAACTTTGTTTGATAAACAAAATTATGTAATTCATTATAGAAATTTAAAATTTTATTTAGAAGAGGGTTTAATATTAACTAAAATTCATCGAGTGCTTGCATTTAATCAAGAACCATGGCTTAGAGATTATGTATTGTTTAATAATAAAAAACGGCAGGAATCAACGAATGATTTCGATAAAAGTTTTTTCAAGTTAATGAACAACAGTTTTTTCGGTAAAACCTGTCAGAATGTGAGAAAGCGTTTAAATTTAAAAACAGCCATGACTGAAAATCAATGTCGAAAGTATTTATCTCACTCAGCTCTCGAAAATTTCCAAATTATTAATAATAATCTCACGATTTTTCAAATGAAAAAAATTAACTTATGTTCGGATAAACCGATTTATATAGGATTTTGTGTATTAGAATTAAGTAAATTGCATATGTATCAAACATTTTATAAAATATTTAAAAATAAATATGGTGAAAATGTGGACTTGTTATATACAGATACTGATTCGCTAATGCTTCAAATTTATACGAATAATTTATATAACGACTTTAAATCATATCCAGATATTTTTGATTTAAGCAACTACCCTAACATGCGTGAATTATTTGATGTAACAAATAAAAATAAGCTCGGATATTTTAAAGACGAGACCGCGTCTAAACCTATAATAGAATTTTGTTCATTATAACCAAAAATGTATTCGTATATTTTCGATAATCAAAATAAAAAAAACGGCTAAAATGATTAAAAAATCTGTCGTTAAAACTTTTAACCACGAGAAATATAAAGAAGTTCTTTTTAATACAGAGCTATTAAGACATTAGCAGTATAGTGTTAAAAGTAAAAACCATCTTGTAACAACATATCTTCAGAATAAAATATCACTCTCACCGTTTTATGACAAAAAAATATATTTCTGATAATGGTATAGATGTGATATCGTTCGGACATTATACTTTTTATATTTAAATTCTTCCAGATTCTCTGATATCATCCCCTTCCAATACAATTACATATTATTATACAAGAGGAAACGAAATTCAAAAACTTGTTTAATACATGGTGTTTTGAGTAAAACATATCGTTGCTTATAACATGCTGTAAATAAAGCTGGATTACTTAAATTGCCAAATAATAAGAAATACTATTGTAAATTTTTTGTATTGACAAACCAGATAACGATGATGTTATGTAATAATAATTTTATAAAATGTGGTTGTTTTAACTGTAATCTTACTTTTTAAAAAAAAATGTTGTAACCAATTTCATTGCTTATTTATATAAAAATAAAACTATATCCTAATACCGAGTTTTTTTTTTATAAAATTCAAACACGTTACACCACTTTAATGGGAAAAGTTTTCGAGTTTACCGATGGACGAAAATAATATCAAACGTTTTAAAAACTATATTAAATGGGAGATTATAAGCCAAAAAATTGATTTAAGCCAAGACTTCATTTCCGAATTCGCTGATAATTTAAACTGGGAACTAATATGGAAAAATTATATATTTACCACTACGTTTATCGAAAAACATATTAAACACGCTAAATGGAATATAATTTCAGAACACCAATTATTAGACAAAGAATTCATGCATAAGTTTTCAGACTATCTTAATTGGGATAAAATAGCAAAATTTCAACTTCTCTCTGATAATTTTATTAAAAAATATATTGATAAATTAAATATGAGAATAGTTTTAAAATATCAGCGATTAAAAACCGATACGCTGCGGGAATTACAAGATTTTTTCCACTGGGATTTGGTTTCTCGTTATTAAATACTGAACGAAGATTTTATTCACGATTTTAAATACCATATTTTCAGGTGCTATATTATTAAATATCAGAAACTAGATCACAAATATATCGCTGAAAACTCTCAGTTTGTTGGTCTACATAATTCAGGATATTTGTAACATTGTTGATGATATAATGGAAAAATTAAATAAATTCGATGAAGAATAAGAAAATTAAAATCTGTAACATATCGATTTTTTAAAGAAATAAAAAAAAGTTAAAAGAGTCAATTGTTTTTTTTTCAAATCTAGTAATTAATTGTATTATCTACAAAATCAGAAATATATCTATATATCATGATAGAAAAAAACAAAAACTTAAGTTCTGAACAAAATATTGAATAGATGATGGAATGCAGTTCACTTCGAGGGGCCAGTTTTAGGATAAAAGATTTCTCCTAAATAATTTCATTAAGAAAAATATATTATAACAGTTTTTGTTTCTCTATACTAGCGATATTCGTAACATCATTGATGATATAATNTATGATTTAAATTATATATGTTTATCAAAAGACAATCAAATGATTCCTTCTAAACCCTATACTCCGGATTATACCAATAAAATTTATGCAAGAAATTTTATCTTGTTATTTGAAGATACCGGATGTATTCATCATCACAAATCTATAAATATATTGTACGACGAGTATCGAGACGGTTATAAATGATGATTTAAATTATATATGTTTATCAAAAGACAATCAAATGATTTTTTCTAAACCCTATACTCCAGATTATACCAATAAAATTTATGCAAGAAATTTTATCTTGTTATTCGAAGATACCGGATGTATTCATCATCACAAATCTATAAATATATTGTACGACGAGTATCGAGACGGTTATACTTTATATTGTTTCGATCTTACGCCCGATAAATCAGGCTCCAAGTCTCACGTTAGCGTTAGAGCTTGAAAATATTTCTGTGGAATTAAAGTTTTCGAAGGCGATACCGGAAACCATAAACGATATTTGTTTGCTAGAATACTATAATACCTTAGAAATCGATCATTCACGAACCGTATTCGTCAATTATTAATGAATACCGTTATGTTTTGGAGATTAGCAGTGAGCGATCTGAAAATAAAAAGAAATTTTGGAGGAGGTTTTGCATCTTACGATCTACCGTTTCGAATTGATAATAAACAATCTTTTATAATTAATTTAGACGAAAAAAATAAGCCTGGAAGTCATTGGGTATTAGTATTTTTTACAAAAGATAAAATTACTTGCATTTATTATGATAGTTATGGATTAAATCCGAGGAAAGCGAGTAACATCAGATTTATAAAACGAAATTCAAAAAAATATTGTTGGAATAATATTATTCATCAAAGTTTGTTTTCCTTAAACTGTGGTTATTTCTGCTTATATTTTTTATATAAAATTAATAGAAATCTATGTTTATCAGAACTGCATGTAACAGATAAATTTTATAACGATGAATTTGTTAAAAATTTTGTTAAAAATAATTTTAATTTATCAAAACCGATTGTAATAACCAATAACCAGTGTTGTAATTCAATAAATAAATCTACAGTAGAACCTCGATTATCCGGACTAATTGGGGATGAAGGTAGTCCGGATAAGGAAAAATCCGGATAATCGAAATAGATACTTTAATTTGTCTTTTAATGATAATACAACACGTTTTCTTTTCGATGACATATTGGTAATATTAAAAGTAAATACTGTATTTAAATCGTGATCAAATTTTCAAGAAACAAACGTTCGTATTGAATTTGGACTACTACTGACCAACGCTAACAGACTACCTATTGTTTAAAAGGCCCTCTGGTGGCGCAAGAAGACGGATTTTATAAAATAAAAAGCAGTTGAAACTGCATTTTTATGAATAAAAATTTGACAAACTATTTATCGTTTTATGACGAGTAAAATTTTTTCGTCGCGTTCGCGGCTTTTAAGTAATGCATAAACCTTCGAGGCGCGAGGCCCTTCGGACCGCGAGGCATAGGCGGTGGCCCACGTCGTCCATGCCTTACGCCGCCCTTGGTCATAGAAATGATGTAATTTGAATATAAATTATTTATAAATACGTATGTCAAGTTATATTTTTATTACTACGTAAATTATATTTAAGAGTTTACGGCCACTGTGCTGGGTGAGACGTTGTTAAAACAAAAAAAGTTATGCATTCCATCATGTACATAAACAGTGTCATAATTCGCCAAGTGCAAATCAGCAAATTCGTAAAATTTTTGTTTATTTTGAACAATCCGGATAATCGAAAATCCGGATAATGGAGGTCCGGATAATGGAGGTTCTACTGTATTTAAAATATGAAAATTGTGTTTTTATTCACAAAAACTTACTATTAATTTTCGCTAAAATTTCCAGCATTCAATCGTCGTCATTTTCTTCTATTACAAGCTGCTATCCGAAACTCAGGCATTATTTATACTGATACAGGATTTTCCTCAATAAACAACTTGTGCATTCAGCTTGACCCACAAAATAGGTGGAGGAAAATACTTATACAAAATTTTCTTTAATAAACAACTTGTGCATTCACCTTGACCCACAAAATAGGTAACCAGATTTTTCCATTCGACTTGACAGGACATGTTACGGGATTAGGTTAATCTAAAAAATTGCTTGTTTGCACAATTTTATTTGGAAAAAATACAACAATAATCATCTGATTTGGTGTGAATATCGAGCTGTTTTTATATATGAGTTAGGGTTAGATATAATACCGATTATATCCAACAGAATTGTGTACTTTTCAATACTCAAAATATAAAGAAGTTTTATTTAATACATACTTGTTTCCAGGGAGAAAGAATTCTTATCCTCAGATGTAATGGTAACAGAGAGCAACATAAGACTTTTTTTTATGTGGAGATAATATACGATTCAAGTTTTAACAAACGATTTGTTCTTAAAGAAAAATATGATTTGGTGTTAGTGATTAATATGGGTAACCTAATTATGGTAAATATTAAAAAAAAAACTGAATTATTGGACCGAGTTTTTTTTTTAAATCTATTTCGTTAATATTACCGATCTCTGTAGATAATATACAACTTGGTTCTTATAAGATTTAACTTTTGTTTATCTGCTTACTTTTCTCAGTACTTAGATCCAAAATCAAAATCAAATTCTGCAATTAGTTAAATTTTATTTAAGTTTTCATTATATCATCAATGATGTTACTAATATCGCTAGTATAGAGAAACAAAAAAACTGTCATAATATATTTTCTGAATGGAATTATTAGACGAAAGCACCTGTGAAAAACAGGTGTGCCCTAGTTAGAAGACGAAAAAAAACACAGCTGTGCCCTAGTTAGAAGACGAAAACACCTACGAAAAACAGCTTGGGAAAACAGCTGTTCCAAAGTAAAAAGACCAAAAAACAGCTTCGTTCCCATGACCTAGATAATAACTCTTCGAAGACAGGACAAAGAAAACAAACAGGGTTTGTAGGTCAGTAGTTTAGGATAAAAGCAAGTGAATTTTTCCAGAACCTTACTAATCGACCAACTTTTTTACCAAGAACTTCACTCGTTGACCAACAACTTCACTCATCAACCAACTTTTCTACCAAGAACTTCACTCATCTAAAAGAAAATCATGTCTGACATTGGTAAGTAATTTTTATTTTAATAATAATAATAATACTTACTTTAATTTAGATTATAATTTTTTTTATAAACTAATTGTAGAATTTGATTTTNGAAATTAATTCTGACTTTGTTTGATAAACAAAATTATGTAATTCATTATAGAAATTTAAAATTTCATTCAGAAGATAGTTTAATATTAACTAAAATTCATCGAGTGCTTGCATTTAATAAAGAACAATGGCTTAAAAAATATGTAGTGTCTAATAATAAAAAACAACAGGAATCAACGAATG